GTAAAAAAGCTTCAGCTCGAAAGGAAGAGGAGGAGGGGGGGGGGGGGGGGGGGGGAGGGGGGGGGGGGGGGTTGGGGAGGTGGTGAGTCGGGATGAGTGGGGGTAAGGGGAGATGAAGAGCAAACTTCTAAATATGAATAGTGGAAAGAGAAAAAAGTGGTTGATAGAAAAAGGGGGGAGGGAACATGTGTTGCTTAAGAAAGATGTAGAGGGGAAAATTCATCTGGATAATGGGGAAGGGATGATGAAAAATGGAAGGGGAAGGAGAATGGTGAATAGAACACATGTAAATCTGAAGATGGTACAAAGGATAAGGAGGAATTTAGATGTCCTTGGTAATATAGAATACACATACAAACTTTGTTTTGGGAACATAGAGGGGACAGATAATAGACAAATACAAGGGATTAGGATTAGTTCAAACATCCTGTGAACAAGCTTTAGAGACTAGAACTACAAACATTGTACTGGGGTTATAGAGGGGACAGATAATGGACAAATACAAGGGATTAGGATTAGTTCAGACATCCTTTAACAAGTTACAGAGACTAGACCTACAAACTTTGTACTGGGGTTATAGACATCCTTTAACAAGTTACAGAGACTAGACCTACAAACTTTGTACTGGGGTTATAGAGGGGACAGACAATGGACAAGTACAAGGGATTAGGATAAGTTCAGACATCCTTTAACAAGTTACAGAGACTAGACCTACAAACTTTGTACTGGGGTTATAGAGGGGACAGACAATGGACAAGTACAAGTTACAGACATCCTTTAACAAGACTAGAACTACAAACATTGTACTGGGGTTATAGAGGGGACAGACAATGGACAAGTACAAGGGATTAGGATAAGTTCAGACATCCTTTAACAAGTTACAGAGACTAGACCTACAAATGTTGTGGTATGTTGTTCTAGCTACTCTCAACATGACAGTGGAATGTTTTCAGTCATTTTCATGATCAGGTGCCAGTAATAAACCTTCACCTGTCTGGAATTCCATGTACCATATATTAGTTAGCTTAGGAAGCACTGTTGTTTGTACATTTAAACACTTAAATTATAGTTTACACCCCACAAAACAGCAATCTAAACTTATATTATCTCATTTTCCATAAAACATTGAAAAATTATTCCAGTTTAAACAGTCAGAAATTGAAAGATTTAATTTCTACTTACGTCCACTTATGCTAACAATGCTGAATGTGATTTCATCCAGACACAAAGTAGAGAACGATATCCATTATTAGCTTTGTAACATAGGTAAATTAGGTCTCAGAATTTACAATCTGCATGTCGGTAATTTGTGTCTATTTATTCGGTGAATTCCTGAGTGAAAACAGAGCCATGTAACCTCGCATAACACACTGTCCAGACCACGCCCAACAGCTAACACGGTAAAATGTCAAACCATCACCCATTTGCAATTATAGCTTTCTCTATGACGTAAATCTCTGTCCCTAAGTTCAAAGTTAGACCATAACAAAAAAAGCATTTTCAATCTGGGCGGGGGTGGAGCCAATTATGTGTCTTAAAAATTAAATTATTTTATTGTCAGATGACTGAGTACACACCAATATGACACAACATCCACAACAAAATGTCATTGTACAATTTTTCATTTTAATTGTATTACCTAGGTCTATTTATCCAACACATTGTCAGCTTCAAACACTCTAACAAAAAATGAAACCAAACTTTTTTAAGAGAAATCTTAAACAAATATTTTGATATCTGAATAGTGACCAATTTTCACAAGTCATGTTTTTTCATTTGAGACTTATTTAGCTTTTATTGTTTTTTTATTGTTTTGGGGGGATTTTTTTTTAGATAGCTTAAACTAACCAAACTTTGAGCAAAGAATCTTTGAATCATTTACTGTAATTAGGCATGATACCATATTAAAGACAATTAATTTAGCTTTAATGTTTTATCATTCTGTTACTGCCTTATGTCAATGACATATATAAAATATTCTGACTCAAAAACATCATTCTTTAAATGAAACAATTAATATCAAAGGATATTTCTCATGGCTTTTCCAGTAAAATGTCCTATCACTTAAATATCTAAAACTGAATTACGTAACAAAAAACAATTAATATCTATTAACAACAATTTCTAAATCATTATGAAAAGTAATCTTTTTGGTGTAAGGTAAATATTACTTTTTCTTTAGATAATTTTTTATCCATAAGGCATCAAAAAGTTTCCTCATGGGTCCAACTTCACTTAAATGTAATAAATAACATGGCCAAGTGTGTTCAGTTTGATCAAAATCTGTCTAAGGACACTAGCAAAATTTTCTAAAAGATAGCTGTAGTGACCTTGACCTTACAACTTTGAAACTTTTTGTAAATATTATGATCCTTCATAAAGTGTTTGAAGTCTGATTAAAACTCTTTGAGAAATTATGCTGCTGGATCCCTGACAAGAATTTTCTAAAAATAGTTATGGTGGCCATGACCTTGACCTAAAATGAAATTCCATATTAGTAAGAGATAAAATAGTTCCAAATCCCTCAAAAAATGAAGCCACTAAAGTGCTGACAACATTAGGTCATGTATATTCACACAATGATGTACGTCTGTTAAGTGCATTACTGAAAGGACCATCCCTATATATTCTCCCTGACATTCATCAATGTAACCATCAATTCACATTTATAGCTTAAACCTGAACAATTGTTTTGCTTCTATGTACACTTCTTACGTCACAGGAAAACAAAAGAAGATGAAAACTTAGCTCTTGAGCAACAACGCTTTCAACTGATACTGTATAAGCAACTCACCTGACACCAAAAGAGGTTCTAAAAAAAGTCATTGATAAAGTTACAACACTTCAGACATGACGTCACATCATGTTCTTTAAATGTCAAGATGTCATCAAGGGTGGCAACTTATGGCCATCCCTATGCTTTACCTCCCACTCAGCCATAGCTTCATATTATAACGGCTTTGTCACTTTCTTTCTAATGCTACCACAAAGCTAAATGTCAGCTCCAGGAGGACAAACGAACCACCTAGTGAAGCATCAAATTATGTTTTTGTTGTCGAAAAATTTCACCGTTGATGGTAAAAGCATCACACCAACACAAAAAAAAGGCCATGACTTCTATCATCAGCTATGTTACCTACCACAACTAATCTGAAATTCCAATATTTCAAATTTTCTGCATGTAACATTTGTTTATCACATGTCTTGTTTTTACAGACATTGCAAGTTTTATAAAGAAAAATAATTTGAAGAATTTTCAAGTTTTTAGTGAATATTTTGTATAAATTTAAATGTTAAGTTGAATATGGAACAATGAGTTAAATATAAGTATGTGTACATCTGAACTACAACAGCTAACTTTCTCTAAATATGTATCATAAATATGTATCTTCACTATAGAGACCATGGCACTACTGAGACCACCTTGCAATGAAAAGATCAATTTTTAACAAATCCCAGTTATCAGTTTTGCATTAAATGTAATCTAACCAGAGAGGTTTCACTATATTAATGTAACACTAACTTTGATAATGGCTAATATTCAAATAATTTCATCTTTCTTTGACTTGATCAAGTTCGTCAAATTAAAAAAAAACATTCATGAAACACCAAATGTCTTTGAAAAGTGACCTTGACCTTTCTCAGAGTCTGCATTCCAATTTATCAAATTAACTTGTTTCTAAAAAGTAAACCAACCTGAACAGAATTGCCTTTGCAGCATTGTCTTCTACATAATATACTTTTAAAGATTCTTTTTAATAGGTTGATGGAAATTTAAACATCATCATCAAGGTCTAACACATGAGATATTTATAGATAACTGCAACTATCTTATAACAAATCGAGAAGGAAAACATTTATATGTACCTGGTAATACCAAAATTTCCTGGACAATAACACAAACACATTTATCATATTTCACTTTTCCTAATTAGTCTTAAATAATGTTCATCAGTAACGGCCTACAAGAGAACAAGAGAAGTAATCACCTCATTGACAATATCATAATACTGTATTGAGAAACATTTTCCATGACAAGGTCAGATGATGATAAAATGTTATCCTATTGCATTGGACCCACAACCAAGGCCAATGGGCTTCTTATTTAGTTACACTATTGTAAGCATCAGTGTATCATACTTCCTATGGTCAAGATTGAAACAAATGTCATACCAAAAGCAGATTACTTTAAAGATATTTTCAAATGTTTAGTGTGAGGGCTATTTTTCACTGGTTTGAGATGGGAGGCATTTTGTCACATTTCAGGAAGAAAATTGGTGAATCGTACAGGAAAGTTTTAAAAGAAAATTGTGAGTTTTTAGAATTTGGCTTAAATATGAAATAATTTTAATTGGGGAAGGGGTCCATTATCTACCCAAAAATCAGAAAATCTTAAGACCATACATGTACTGTGTATGTCAATTTTAGTATACTTCTCATTGTTGAAGATATACTGAAACATATGAAACTTCTAAACATGGCATTTCTTTTGCACTGCCTTTTTTTGGATGGAGAATGACTGATGTATGAGTATTATGGGATGGAAATTGACTGATGTATGAGTATTATGGGATGGAAATTGACTGATGTAGGAGTATCATGGTATGGAGATCAACTGATGTATGAGTATTATGGGATGGAGAATGACTGATGTATGAGTATTATGGGATGGAAATTGACCGATGTATGAGTATTATGGGATGGAAATTGACTGATGTAAGAGTATCATGGTATGGAGATCAACTGATGTATGAGTATTATGGGATGGAGTTTGACTGATGTATGAGTATTATGGGATGGAGTTTGACTGATGTGCGAGTATTATGGGATGGAGTTTGGCTGATATATGAGGATTATGGGATTGTTCTTGACTGATGTATGAATATTATGGGATGTAGATCGACTGATGAATTAGTATTATGGTATATATATTTAATGATGTTTGAGCACTATTTACCAGACAGATGAGCACATTAAATATTACAGAAAATGTAACTTACCAATGGCTGATCATTTGTATCACTTAAATCTTCATCTTCTTTCATACTGTCAATAAAAATTGTTTTAGATGATTAATAAATTCCCAAAGTGTCTCTGATATTTGTATTAATATTCATTTTTCATTCATTTTTTTTTTCATTTGTTATCAAAGGCGAAACCAATGCCTACTTATACCTCAACACCAAATGAAAAACTGTTCAGTGGACGACAGATCTACATTAACAATAAGAAAATTTTGTATGGGAACCTACTGCAAGAATATCTTCTTCAGAAATTTTGTCTAATAAAAAACAAAAAGATGGAGGTTGACAGCTTTGTATGACACACAATCCTTCTGGCTAGAAATGACAATATTTCAGAAAAGAAAAAAAAGTTGATTGCAGACGCTAAAAAAGTGAACATCCAATCATATTGAAATACTGCTTAGTAATAATTTTCTCCACCATGACACCTTTGTCTAGACATAAAATTACCATATATATGAAGTTTCCTCAAAAAGAATTCTGTGTTTAGAAGTAATTGTCTGAATGGAGATTTTGGTACAGGATACGAGATTAGTTTGGACTGCGTACTGATGCTACTGTCACATCTATGTTAATCCTGATATACTTTTTAGCATCATATATAGTCATTCAGGAGTTATAAGTTGGTCAAATTTATATATAAAACCTCATCATACTTTTGAAAATTACAAAAATTTGAACTTTGAACTCTATTCCTGTGACCTTGAAGTGTAATGGTTACAGGGTACAATAAATTGAAATGCTAAAAGAAACAACAAAATGTTTTGCAAAAAGAAACATTTAAATAAACTTCTATTGCAGAATAAAGAATGCCCTTGATTTTTTGACGATAAGACAATTCAACCAAAGTCACAATCTGTGTATTTCGATTTCTTCTGATAGGAAAAATGTTTATCATCAAATCAGTAGTTAACTAAAAGCAATAAGGCCCTTGTTCACACCATTTAAGGAAACTCATTCAATTAAGAGTTCCAAGTCGAAAGGATTTTTTGGGGTTTTTTTTGCCTTCCCAAGGACAGACAGTGAAAATTCAATAACCATGACAAATATTTAGTGCTGGTAGTCGAATGTGTTGTGTGACATTAGTGTGAAATACAGCTGTACCTTGATTGGTCAGACAGCGTCAAGCACACCTCACAATTAAGCAACCTCCAATATCAGCTCATCTAGAAAATGCAATTAGCGAATTCTGTACTACAAACCATTCTTTATAGTTACCATGACAACCCTGGCAATGGCTCCACCTTGAAATTCCGAAAAGCAAGACAAGATTTTCAATTGCTTTCCACCTACCACAAGCACGAAAACTCCAAACACCCATCAGACTCCTAATTCCTCATAGTTCAAAATGTCCACAACAATATAGAGTAAATCACAAGAATGTTTTCTGTCATTGGATTATATGTCAGATCTCCCACAATGCACTAGTATTAGAATCAAAATGCCCACTAATACCTGAGCCATCATGACCTTCTACTTCCTAACTACCATTCAGTGGTCCAACAAGCAATGGCAACTATCCAAGGCCTTTACAAATTGGCAATGACAACAAACACAGAGTCTGACAGACCACTGACAAGTAGCACTATTTTCACTGGACTACTTACTTCATTATACGTTCCTGAAATCGTGCTTCCTCATCATCTGGGGAAAAAAAATAATTCAGAAACTAAACAAAAGTATACAGCAATATACTGCTCAATGCAACCTCCCTGAACTTTTCATATACCAAAATAATCTTAATTTTGATAACGATATTAAGGCTGTATCTAATGATACTAAGAGTTATCTCCAATTATCATCAGCAAATATAACTAAAACTGACAATTTCAGATAGAAGTTTGAATTTGAGAGGTATGTTCAAATGGTCCATGGGCAGATTCATTTGAAATGGTTCATAGCCACGTGACAGGTATATATTTTAAGTGTTAGATGTATTAAAGGATGCTTATCATGCAAAACATCATAATCATTTTATCAATACCAAGTTTCAATGAAATGCCATCAAACATAAGAGTTGAACTTGCACATATAATATTCTGGGCAGATGGAGACAGGCAGATAAGGTAATTTTTATACAACCCCCCTCCATCCTCCCCAACCTTGACGTGTTTTGGGAGGGGGTATAAAAAGAAATTGAAACACAAAAATAAACAAGTTGCATATGAGATTCATGTTTGGTTATGTGAAATTCATGATGTTTTCAGGCAAATGTGAACATTTTTGTTTGACATCAGTCTGTAAAAATATATATGTCAAGTGTCTAAGTGTGGATTAACTCCAGGGATTGCCAGCAAACAAAACTTGAGAGAATTTTTTGTCAAAAAATGTGGAAAAAAATTGGAAGAGTCAAGAAACTGGAAAGTTATTTTGTTGTGCTTTACAAATATTCAATATGTCATACATACATTTCTCTCTTTAACAATATATACAATAGGTGAACTGTAAAATTGTTAACTGTCTTGGCATTTATATATATGTCTATCCATCGTTACTGTTTTTTACTAACGTTAACTTCACCAATCTATTTTAAGAATATGTTTTCACATAAACCTCCATGATAAATGTAAACATCGTGCGACATTTAAATACCACATGACAGTGTACATCACGTGTGCATGGGTCGGATTATCGAAAGCATGTGGGAGTTGAGCTCGGGGGATGGGGGATATTGGATAAGATATATATTGTAAACAATTCCAATGCGGGCTTGCCTGGAGTTATGCAGCTTCACCGTCAGTGACACAGTTGAGTGACCCCGGTAAACACAAACAATCGATGGCTCTGCAACGTGCGTCACAGGAACAGGTCTTGAAATGTTTATATTTAAATTCTCTATTGGCAGTTGGCCCCAGTCTCGTGGGTCTAGACTAACATATAACGGTCCAAACACCGAGATGAGAGGATCTGTATAGCGCGAGGGCAAACTCCCATCAGCTGACGCCCTGTACACAGTGTATTATTGCTCATTCAACTGGAACGTGATCGTTACCTGTTTCAGAAAAATCCTCTTCGGCTGAAGTTCGTAAACTGTCTGTATTTCGGGGGGACATACTCTTCTGTTTCAGAGTCTCCTCGACTGCACCATCCGCCATGTTGACATTGTACTGAGGTTTGCCACGCCTTACATCCGGGAGCTCAGAACGGGACACACCCACTCCTCGGCCAGTGGGTGTGTCGGCGAGGGTTCACCACGGGTTACTGTCTGTATTGTCAATCATCGGATATTTCCGCCCGCTTGAGCAGACACGTTTTGCGCTTGAGTGATCACTTGTCTTGCCGATAACAGTATCTTGTTGTATATTACCGAGTGAGAACAGTGCAGATAAAACGGAGAAAAAGCAGACAGCTTTTGGACATGTGAGATACGGCTCCCCTCGGGCACCTTACCACACTCTATAACGTTGGTTCATTTGCTCTATACACAGATAGCACGGGATGTGATATACTGATAAAACGGCCAATTACAAGATTACTTTTTACAACTGCTATTAGCTTTTTTTACATGAGAATGATTTAAGAAATACGATAAACACACTGTGATAATTAAATTAAAACTGCGCAGTCTTGGTATTTTAAAATAATTATAAGGACAGGAAAACAACACCGCATATCGATTCTCATACAGCTAGTTGTAACTAATAAGGAATGTTGGAAGATATGACACTTTATTCAGATGGTCATTATACTGCCCAACAATGGTAGCACATCCTCTGAATCGCAATTCCCCCAAACCTATCCCAGCCCCACCCTCATGGCCACCCCAAACCCCCAATCATCAACTCCAACATCATGCATTTTACTAAATTATTGTAGACTTTTTTTTCTAAATGTTTATACATGTAAGCAAAACGACCTGTGTTTACTCTATTTCATCGCATTTTTATCGCGTTTAAATGTCTGATGTCTAAATTTTATTGTGATTTGAATAGTGAAATCATGGTTAAAACAGAAACTTTGCAAACATGCCAGTTTCTTGTGACAAAAAGAGACTGCATGAGGTATATGTAACAAATGCACTACACCTAGTTTTACGTCTCTGATTGGAGTTTACGCACTGTTATGGGAAATATTTTTTGACCGTTTGCAGCATCACTGGGTGATCCCAAGTACCTTGTATTTAGTTTATCTGTCCCAAGACATCCAAATAAGGAGAAATATAATGAAATATATTGTTGGTTTTTAATTGTTTTCCGATATCCGAACTGCCAGTATGGTTCGATAATCCTACCTGTGGAGGTTTGTGTGGGTTTTTTTTTTTTTTTTCTTTCTTTCCCGGGGAAGTTGAGAAACGAACCGGTCTTAAGGTGCCGTTGTGGTTGTGTCCTTGTATAATAGACTTTATTCACATCGCTCTGTACGACATTCGATGACCTGTCTCATATTGTTCAGTGAAGTAGCCACTAAAGTTTCTGTAAGTAGATCCCGCCTCAAAACAACCCCACCATCTACTATCATACAGCTGCAACACCGTGCGGAGAGTGAGATTAACGGAGATCTTATGTGATATAGTGTAAACGCGATACAAATAAACTGTCTGGCTGTTAAAAACAAATCATTCAACTAAGTTATGATACTAAGTTTTCCATATCGCCTCAGTTTATGATTAAATTCGGAGACGGAGCGTATCTATACGGGAAATTACATCCTACGTTGTGACATTTTGACAATTTAAACGAATTGAAACATGTTTTATTGATATTTTATAGTCATAAATGAATTAACCACCAAACAACTTGTTATTACCCGTAACAACATCAAGTTTTTATTTGAAATATCGATATGCTATTGTGATGATTTGATAATTACTTTTAACTGGTGTATTAAATCGTAAAACGTTACAATGTACAACCTCAACCTCTCTCTCTCTCTCTCCATTGCAAACAGGTAACAAATAAAAATGCAGATCAAATTAGTTTACAACCCATTAACCAACTCGTTCACAATCTTCATCATTGATACCAACACACAGTAGAACTTACTCAAGCCACAACCATATACGATAGCAATTTTCAACCAATTCGGTTTACATCCAATTACCTTTAAAACCAACTCCATTCATATTCAACTCTATATTCAACCAACTTCGTCTATAACCGTCTTCTTGGAAACCTACTCTGTGTTAACTTTCCGTTAAACCATCCGTTGTAACTGAATGTAACGTTCTAAATTCCCGTGATAACGTGATAAGAACATGGCAATGACTTACTTTTTCCATCACAATTCTGAAATCCTTTACACAATTACCTTATAGCAGCGCGTTTCAGAAATAAAATATCACTTAAAAATCCAGGAATTTGGTGAGAGAAACGTTCCCACACAGGCTGAAGGGAAGGAACTCTGACTAATTCATTATGCAGTAAAATTCATTAGGTTCATCGAGTTCCCATGTAGCAGACACTACCGATGGATTATTAGTTTCTGAAGTTTGCCGTAATCTGTATGTCACTTCAATTCATACACATGCGCTTGATGCTTTCATAAAATTTATTTATATGATTTTTCACATTGAATTCGACCAGTTTGACTTTACTCAGTCGCCCCGTGGGATTCTGTCGCCGCATATAGGCCTTTAGCATCACTGACAGGTCCCAATATATAGTACAAAAGAAAAAAATACTAACACCATTTAATGCAAATTTATAGTTCAGTGTAATAGAGCCAAACAAGAATTAAACTGCATCATACTTCTGTTTCGTCTCAAGTTCTAGTTCTCGTCAGTGATGCAAAGGACATAATTTTTAAGTCTAGGGGACGACCGAGAAAAATCCAAAGTGATCGAAAGAAAAAGCCAAAACCTAGACGGGGATGAGCTGCAGCCAAATAATTAAATTAATTTCGTTATTTTAATATATTAGATAACTTTAGAACAACGTCCGGTGACGGGACGTGTACATTTTGAACAGTACCAACATTCCATTGAAGGACGAAGCAGTTGCGGTTTCTACTGTATCTAAATCGTTCGTGCCAGAGAATCGGGATATCTACGTGATTGTGTTAAAATTAAGTTTTCCATGGTAGTCTGACACCAGAGACGTATATATACGTGTTATATATGTCTCTGCTAACACAAAGGCTTCAAAACATTTGTATCATATGCAAATGGCCGTAACAACGAGATGCTCGAATTTAATGAAGAAAACAACGATATCGCCACTTAAGTCACTCGTTTCATATAATGTCGTTCAATACTATATTTCGGGTTAGGAAGATTCATAATTGATTCTTATACATGTCTCATTTTAGGGCATTTACCGTAATAAGTATACATAACGTTAGCATAGCTTGAATTTTCAGTTACTCATCCACTTGAGCAACATAATCAACCAGCAGATGCTTGACATGCAATGAAAACCACCGATTCAAAGTTCAAAATCTAGATTAAAATCTAACGCACTGTGGCATTGATGAGTATTACGTCATAATGGAAAACATAAAGTTATAAGCAGTAGTGGTGCGGAGTATCCTCCTATTCCAATTTGATAATACGAAACGAGGGCCTAAAATAAACTCCCACACATTAAGGTCTCGTCTGAAGTACCGTTTAAATCTCGTTGACCTGAATTGAGAAATTCTCCATGATGGCGCCAAATCAATGTACAAAATGTTGTTATTTATTCATTATAATTAACAGGGAAGATCCTAATTGACGATTCAGTGGAATATCTTTAAATTAATATTTCCTACAGGAACCCGTCCAGCGCCTTCAGCGGTAAGACATCTAGACAGTTCGGTATCTAAATATGTAATGTCAAGGTGTGACAACATCGCTTCGTAAATGGACGTCTCTATGAACTCATTTCTATCTTGAGAGTTTAGCTTCTTCAGCATAAAATTTATGTAAAGTCCATCTTCCTGGTCTAACTACAGACATTGCCTTAGCCCTTCTTGCTATATGCAGATTAACAAATCGATGATCAGCCACGGATCTTAGCTTTTATTGGAAAACCGCCAAGAACACAACGCGTGTTTTTTCGCTTTCTTCAACGTACATACCATGATCGAATAATTTCTGAGAAATATTGTTATTCTTCAATATTTCATTGTAGTTAAGTGCTATAGTTGTTAGTTAGTTTGTAGACATTCGTCTGGAATCGCTGACATATGTAACAGAATACGCTGAGCCATGAAAAATGCTTTTGATTAGTATGCGAGGTGTCTAATGACGCAAGAAAAGGCGGGATTTTTAAAACGTCAAATAAACCAAGATAAAAAAAAGTTATGATGTCAATTGAATTCTTTGTTGGTTATATATATGGCTATATGTTTGAAGATATTGACCACTTAAAGGTAACTGTTAATCATCTGTTTACATTCGGAATAGTCTGTTGACGTCAAGTACAATTAAAATGGTTCAACAAATTGTGTTATATAAATCACTATCATCTAGAATTAGTTCTCGGCAAAAGGCAAAAACTACAAAACGAAAAGATTACAGACTACAAAAGTCTGACCACTTTGCTGTTCATGGTCAACTTTCTACTGATCTTTAAAACCAAGTTTCTGAAACATTGTCGAAAGGTAATATGAAGGAAAGTTCAATCTGTGTTAATAAATTTGACACTAATTGGAGTTTTTATGCTAGACTTCGCTAAAATTACTTGTGTTTTATCCAAAGATCATTTAATATAGTACTATATAACTATATAAATTTCACAGGATAATATTTTGCTGTTGTATTGGTCTGGGCTAGTTCAGGCCAAGTTGAGGAAGTGGTTACATGAATGCAGATATAACAGATATGTTCTCATATCTTCATGCATTATAGAATTGTTTGCTGGGTATTCAATTTTGCATCATCTTAATTGGTCACAAATTTTGAAAAATTAAATCTCTTGCAAAAATTTCCAACTATAGAACTTTTACTGAACTGCTTAGAGTTTAGGCTATGAAAAAAAAATGAAAGCCAATCAGAATGGCTAGCAGTTGGGTAAACATACACATAGGCTATGCACATGTATTTTGTTTTAATTTAGTTAGTGATACATAGTGATTATCACACACCATGACATTGATCGATTATTATTATTATTATTATTAGTATCATTTTTTTCAGATCCCAAAAGCAATAGTGATGCCATGTAGCTTGTCCACAGGAAATTCTTTAATACTAATTAAGGTAAGGAAATCAAACATTTTTAAGTTAAAAGTAATGATCATTAGTAGGATTTCTGTTTAAATAAGGTAAAAAATGAAAAAAAATATATATATATATTAATAGAGATTTGAACATGCACACATACATGGTCTGTTATTTTGAAGAAATAATAAAATGACAAACATTTGAGCAAGTGTTTACTGATTGACTTTTTTTCTTGGATATGTTATTCAAACTTTGCCATCTGACTGCATTGCGATATTCTTTGATTATGAGAATATTTGTAGAAGTTGAAAGATTTGAATTTTCTTCTTTTAGACACATAAACCACTACCATTTTAAGTCATTTTAACTTGAATTCTTGCAGTATATTGATGAGATTTAAGAATTTCTTATTTCAGCAGAAGAAATTTAAAGAAGGGAAAGAATTCCCTATTGCAATAATTTCTTTCATATCAACTCATAACTTCTCTAAAACAAATCATCTGCTAATGAATCAATTAATTCTGTTGTCTCTGCTATTTACCAAGATCATGATGTTATAGTGTAGAAGTGAAAAAAATAGACTTGGGAAATCGATATGGATGATTATCTTACTTCAGGTTTGGCTGCTATAGCCCACTGAGGAAAGGAATGCCGCCAAATAAAAGCAAACGTCCATTTCGAGATGAAAGTCCAGGTATGCTTTTGATATTGATGTAAAAAAAAAACTCATACCCACCAAGATATTAGAAATATCTGAATTGACTTGATTGGCTAAAAGAGTTATGTATATTATTTGCCCTAATTTTGTTTCTTTCATGTAACATTTAAAGAATTGTGGTTATGAAAATTTGGTAAATAAATGCCTGTTTGCCCTAGGTTCTAGCACTCATTTGAAACTTTTTAAAACAAAAAGGGAGGTTAAAATGGATGCTACCCATAACGGATATTTATATCATATTCATGTCTGTAAGTTATTGCTGAAATATTTTGACATTATTGTCTTTATATCTGGTTCTGACACCAAGAATATTTAAACAGAAGTGTCTTATAATTGAATCAATGATCATGATAGTTTTTTTAAGTTTTGTGGAATTTGTGTCAGAATCATTATGGTTTAAATTTGTTAGAGTAAAGATAATAAAAGTAATTCTAGTTGGTTCTGTATGATAATGAATAGTCCAGGGTTACCTGTAATGTCTCGTTTGTTTAATTGCAAAAATAAAATGCTATTTGTTAAGAACAAGATGGGCTTTCTAAAAAACCAAGGCCAGATACAGAGGAAGATGAGGATGACAAAGAAATGCAGGATGGCGACAAGAATAAAGGTAACCTAAGATTTTGACTATGATGTACAGTTAAAAACGGATATTCCATCCAATTTGGAAAAAAAATCTGGCTATTCTGTACCTTTCAATAACACATTCTAATGACTTTTAAAACGATCAATGGCATCAAAATATCTCTTCTGATCAGTTTGGATAGGTGAAATTGGTGGAAATACTCCCACTAAAACTGTCCGAATATAGTGCATCAGGAAATCCTTAACTGAAGGGTCACTAGATCACTGGATCTTAGATTTTAAGCAGAGTGTAGGGTAAATGCACCAGTGTGTATGCTCGTTTTTTGCTGGGGTTACAGTTCATTAGACTTATTTCATGTTAATTTTTGTAATTTACACATATACTTGATTCTGCAAAACAAAATTGTTATGATGCAACCCACACAATTAAATTTGTTACTTCAAGCAACCCCCAAAGAATTTTATTTTCCACTTAACACGACACCTACATAAGTTCTGTTGCCCCCTTTTCACTGCCAAATATATGTTGCTTCCCTGAGCAAATATATTGTAAGATTTCCCAAAAAATTGATATGAAAATGTCAGTTTCTTATTTTTTTCCAAACTGTGTGAAAAAGATTGATTGCTTCCAAATTCTGCTTACTTAAACGCACTAAATATGGATCAGGGCTCTTGATCTGTCAGATCTGGGGCCAAATTCCCAATGCAAAATAGTATCTTTTTTTCCCAATTTAGACCCCAAGTTTTCCCAATTCTAAGGAAAACACCATTATTTTCCCCAATTCTAAGGGCCCCAGGCCCCAGTCCCAAATTGGGTGTGAAAGCCCTGTGGATATTTCAACACAAAAAAGGGGGGAAAATTCAGTACATTGCCTGACTAGTCAACTCAAATATATTGATGTGAATTTGTTTTACCAACATACCACGAGTCATCTTGTCCAACTTGTTAATGAATGATCCCATTAAGGATTCAAAGCCATTTTGGTCAAGCCAAGTAGCCATCCCGTGTATACTCAGTTATCCTTCCTCATTTTTTGTTTAAGTTACATTAGTTCTTGCATCCCACAAAGTTTGAAAACCAACACCTAAGTTATCTCCCTTGAACTTTTGGATTGGGAATAAACATGCATTCGGAAGAATAAATTAATGATTTAATTTCGATTTCATGAAGAATTAATTTGTGAGAATGAAATTGAAATGGAGCTATTGAAATTAGAAGAAAAAAAAAGATTCTGTTGTTCAATTGAAAGAAGTAACAGAACTCAAAAGTTCATACACCAAAATAGATAGGTTTCACTGGTTGTGTTATAAGAACTTCTTTGCTAATGACATAAGCATCCTGAAGAAAGTGATCTGAAATAACATTAAAATTGTCACTCAATTACGACTTCACTGCAAATACTAAAGTGGCACCACAGTCGGTGTCATGTCAAGTCTGGTGAAATGTTCAATGTTGAGTGTGAAATGATCGGTTGATTTTGTATCAATTCAATAATTTGGCTTCTCAGAATAGATAAATTTTTGTTGACATATATTTTGATCTATGTTTACAGCCAACTCTAGTAAAGCTGGGGGTAAGGTACTGCGTAGTCCCAGTGTATCGTCCCACAACAAACCAGCAGAGGTAAGTTACCTGAGGCTACTGTTACAGGCCTACTACCCTCAGACTAGTGACTTTTTTGAAAACTTTACTTAATAGACACGAAAGTATATACGTTCATTTCCAAGGGCTCAATGGGTCCCATTCCCAATAGGATTTTTTCATAATATGGCCAAATTCCCAAAATATGTAGTTTACTCATAAAAATCTGTTTCCTAATTAATCCCATCATTTTTCCCAGATTTTTCTTTTTATAAAAAAGGGCCCATTCACAAATAGGTGGGAAAAAAATCTGGTTTCTGTTCATAAGAATAGCCAAAACATATCTTGAGCTGTGATTTTTTAGAATATATTTCATTAGATGAAATTTTAACATAGATGGAACAGTTTCTGCTGTAATGATGATGATCTGTTGAGTACAACATTACACAGACTTGGCCAAGGCTGGTGCATCTTCTATTGAATTTATCTGTACCTTTTTATTAATGATTAATCAGTATTTTCAATGCAAGAAAAAATTCAGTTCAAATTATATGTATTTAGTGCTTCGATTTGACCCTAGCCCTTGGCTCAAAAAATGAAGAGTGAGATATTAAGACATGTATTTGATTGAAAACATATTGTCAAATAGAAGAGGAGGCATTAACTTCATACACATTTAATTCAATTTGTAATTCTAATGAAGGAGACTGATTTAGTAAGTTTGAATTTTTCATTTTCCTACTGATCTTCCTACAGTTATTCAGAAAAGACTTGATTAGTGCTATGAAGCTAGCAGACTCGGAGCCTCTCAATGCAGAGAACTACCACCTCATAGCAGACCAGTGGAAACAGGATTGGGAGAAGGGTGTCCAGGTACCGGTCAACTCTGAAGCCATCCCTACAGCTGAAGTCAGGTTTGTATGAAGATCATTGCAGGACATATATTGTTCCAAGAGGTCAATTTTACTGTTTCACTAATTTTCTTGTGTGACAATTCTGACTGTATCTAGTGGTGTAACGATAGGTTGACTTATTGTTGTAGTGCTAAAAGCTTTGCTCTCAATAGCAATAGATCAGCAACAAATTTTCAAGGCGATAACTGTCACGATAGTTTGCTCAACTATTGATTGTTACTAATAGTTTTATAACTAAACAAAAAACTACTTAAAAAGCAAGAATTCTTTTTGCTGAGTTATTGCCCGAAAAACAGCTGCAAGCTGCAATTTATGAAAGCGTCTTTGGGATGTCGATCGGGTAGTGCTAAATACCAGAACAGCACTATCACTGACTTAGAATCTAAACAGAATTTTAAGCACATGTTGTAACATTGTCGAGAGTTTATATCTTACGTAAATGTTATATCGTTATTGTTTCCAATATGATCTAGTTAAATCTACAAACTAAAGTTGTTGAGGAGGTGAATTCTTTAAGTCTGAGTCTGTGTTTTAGACCCATCCTTGAAATGACCAATGTATTTCAACAACATGGTGGAAGGTAGCAGTAATTTGAAAATTGTTCTCAATAAAAATGCCCAAAAAAGTTTGTGGTTAGTGACTTCACTTTATTTCTGGGTTAGAAAACATTTTGAAGGGAAAAACACTATTGTGATAGCGTCACATTAGTCACTTGGCTATCGCAATAATATTGCAATAATAATTTTACTATGGCAATAATATCGTGATAGCTGTTTTGACCCCAATGATACCCCGAACTGTTTCAGTGTTACTATTCTGTGTTGCTAAGTTGTATGAATGAGCCTACTATTATCATATCAGGTGATGGGATTTTTGAACTCCCTTTCATCTGTTGTCAGTCCTGTTAACAATTCTCCTTTTTTTTCTCAAGAATTAAAATAAAGACAGGTCAAAAAAGCATCCTAGTTATGCATGCCACTATGATCAGATTTTCAAATTGACCTTGGTTAGATTTTGGCATTAGAAGTTCGTTAATTCAATTTCTAAGGATTAATGAAAGGATTTTCAAAAAGCTCTTTTAGAACTGGACATCAGGCTTGAAGTAAGATTAACACTGAATCAAAGACTTTTTGCAAGTCCCTATAATTTGTAGTTATCGGCTTTAATTATTAGGTTTTTCAATTTTCAGTGAAAAGAGACCATGGACAAAGCTTGGTGGAGACTTTAAAATGTAAGTACTTGATTGTACGAAAGAAAGAGGAAAAAAAAAGGGGGGGGGGAATGTAATGTGCACATTTCCATATTTTAAAAATAGAAAAATAAAATTTTCAAGTTTGAATATTAAATTTTTTTTGTATAGTTACATGAGTTTGGTATCTTGGTTGTAGACCTAGAAAGTTCCTTCATGCTATGAAAGACGAGAGTTTCCAGCAGAGTGTCCATGAGTTCACTGGGATGCAGCAATTGTCAGAATCAGTGGTCCGTTATGACTTAGATGATCTGGATGTCTGCTGGCTTCAGAAAGCAAACGAAGAGAGAGAAGAAAATGGTGAGAGAGAAAAAAATAGTGAGGAAAAAACATTACTCTTCTCATTATTCAATTTCATTTGGTCCAAAATATCTTGTGCTTTCTTGAGGATTTAGAAAAGGTTGTTCAGAAAAAACATTATGAATTCTTTTTTGTCACATTTTCAGCTTTCTGTGTTTTCAGTTAGAGTACCTGAAACTTAAACAATAAGTTGCTAAAAGAAAAAGTTGATTGTTTAAAGAAGCCAACTAACCTCTTCCTCTGTGTTAAGAGTTATTTCCCCTCTTATGTACCTTAACTATGTAGTTTTGTTTGTTACAGCTGAAATCCTGATACATGAATGGACAATGGAGAGGATAATTGAGGCTTTGGAGAATCAGGTATATATTTTTCATTCATTAGCGTTTCTATAAGTTTCATATCACATGAGAATATACCAAAGTAACATTAAAATCTGAAAGGAGGTTAATGTGAAAATATAGTGTCATGTTAATACAGCAAATACTTAATTCACCTTCAGTTCGTATAAGGTTTATTTCTGTCTCTGTACTACAAATATATTTGTATTTTTAATTCTTTTATATATATATTGAAAAGTAAGTTAAAAGGATTGAGATGAAGATTTCTTTGTTTGTTGTCAGTGTTATGAAAAGATGCAAAACAAGAAGAAGACAGAGGAAGGACTTGGTATCGAGTATGATGAGGATGTCGTTTGTGAAGTCTGTCGTTCGGTAAGGTTTTCAGAAGGAAGATATCAGTATCTTGTAAAATGTAGATGCTGATCTTATCAATTGTTTAAGGAAGAATGGTTAAGAAACAAGTCTAATTTGGATGAATGTGCCAAGTCTGTTTATCATAGTTATTTAGATTGAACATAATTCTTTTCTTTCTGTTATCAGTCAATATAACTGTGACATTCATGGACTGTGACAAGACTTAATTGGATAAACAGAAATATGTCTTCAGCATTAAAATTGAAGTTATTCTGTTGTATCTTTGAATACAAATGAAGTTAAGAGAAGTTATCAAATCTTAAACACTGAAATGTTAGTAAAGAACTGAGAAATTTCAAGAAAAACATTGAATGAAAACACGCTCATTTACTATTTCGTTGATTTCTTGTTACAGCCTGACAGTGAGGACAATAATGAAATGGTGTTCTGCGATGGCTGTGATATATGTGTCCACCAAGTGAGTACAATCACAACCTTGTGGTCAGACTTAACTTCCCATTTCTATGTAGTTATGGAATGCTTTGTGAACTTTTATATTTTTATACAATTGTGTTAGAATATTTTGAAACACTCGGTTCAAAAGTGAAAATAATCTATATGAATATTATTCTATTTTATGCATTCATATTTTTAATTTGATAAAAATTAAAGTATAAAACAACATCTGAAATGTTTTATAGGCATGCTATGGCATACAGAAGATCCCAGAGGGGAGCTGGTTGTGTCGGGTGTGTGCCCTGGGCATCAAACCGCGCTGCATCCTCTGTCCCAAGATAGGTGGTGCCATGAAGAGTACACGAAGTGGGACCAAGTGGGCCCACGTAAGTTGCTCTCTATGGATCCCAGAGGTCACCATTGGCTGTGTAGAGAAGATGGAACCAATCACAAAGATTTCACAAATACCTGTAAGTTATTGTTCTGTTGTAGGTGTGAAACTAATACATAAACAGTGCCTCAGCAAATTTAGAGGGAATATGTCCAAATTAGGGCAATACTGATGTACCCATATTTGTTAGAGGTATATGTTTCAATGTCTTTTTGTTTTGTCGTTTTTTTCATATAAGAGTACTTAACTCTTGCATAATATAAACATTCGCCCAGGTTAAAATATGAATGAGATGATGTTGAAGTTGTTTTCATGGTTGACTGTACAGTGACAAAAATGAACATTTATGTTATTAATATGAAGTTCTGAAAATTCTTTTATTTTCACAAAATTACACATACATATGTGTCTTAATGCTGAAGATGTAGATATTGCATATCTTGTTCTTTGGCATGTTATTTTGAAAAACATTTCTCTTGTGTACAGGTATATATATTTAGAATTATTAATTTGATTTCAGGCAAGTCGATGGGCCTTGATATGTTGTTTATGTAAGGAGCGGACAGGAGCCTGTATCCAGTGCTCGGTTAAAGCATGTAAGACTGCATTCCATGTGACCTGTGCTTTTCAATACAAACTGGAGATGAGGACAATTCTCACAGAAAATGAAAGCGATGAGGGCATCAAGCTTAAGGTATATAAAAATTTTGCTGAGTGTATTCCTGGGCTAAGATCAGTGAATAGAATCCTGAACCATGAGTGTAGACCTTGGCTTAGATCTATCTATAAACAACCAAAACCGTTAGTCATGTCTTGGCTTGGATCTGTAAACAGACGTAAAGAGAAGCCTTGATGTGATTCATAAATGTTCAAATTTATATTAGTACAGTCACTGTTTTGAAGCTAAATGTCTACTTTCAGTTTTTTTATGAATATTTTACAACTACAATACTTGCCCTGTTCAGATTGATATACACAAGGACAGGAAGACACAAAATGCAATTAACACATTTTTCAGTATATCCAACTCCAAAGAGTACCTGCACATATTACATGGGTTTTTATGTCACTCAACCCTAACCCTCTTATCAAATATTGTTGACTTCTTACTCAAGGTGTCAGTGAAATTTGGACCTTTAAAATCTTTTTCAGAAATGAAATTGAAAACTACACTCTATCAATTACAAGAGTATGTCTGATTCTTTTCAACAAAAAACAAAAAAACAAAAGTGAAATTAACTCCTGTTGTAAATTTGCTTTACAGGGGTATTGTCCCAGACACAGTAAGAATCGAGAGCATGGGAATGCTGACTCAGATACAGACTCTCCAAGGAAGAGCCTGTCTGGTTCACCTCGAAAGGAACTTACTGATGAGGAGATCGCCAGAATGAGGGCAGAGAAGTTGAAGCAACTAGAAGAGGAGTTTTATAAGGAGATTGACACTGATGAGATATCCAGTGCTCTGCAGGTGGATGCAGGCACCATAGAATTGATAGCAGCTTATTGGAAACTCAAACGCAAGGTAGGGCTAAAAGTACTGGTGAACTTAATGGAAACACAAATACATTTAGGGTTAATTATACTCGTAAGACACTTGTTGGAAAGTCAGACATGGAGCAGACAAGCTAGGATGAAACGTAGGTTTATTACAGGCTTACTGGAAACTCAGAACTAAGGTAAAAGTACCAACAAACGCTTAGTGGGAACTCAATGTAGAGCTTATAGTATGCACCGAGGCTTATTGGAAATTTAGAGGCAAGGTAAAGTCAATAGTTTTTCAAGAAGCATACTGGAAGCTCAAAGGCAAGAGTTAATAGAACCAAAATATGGTTTACAGAATTTCAAACAACAGGAAGACAGTTACAAATGCAAATTGTCCCTGGATGAATGTTTACTGTAATCAAATTGAATTTCAGATTTTTGTATTTTTTTTTCGATGAAACTTCTGGAAATTGAAACTTTTTGTGGGAAATAATGTTAAAAATCAGTATTAGTATCAGTGTACTTTTTAACTACTGATGGCTGTTAGGTTTAATAAATCATATTGGTTGAGTTGTATGACAAATCTTTTCCTCTTTATACCACTAGTTTTTTTTTTGCCACAGTTCTATTGTAAGTGAACAAGAGCTTACAAGCTCAGATGAAGACTTGAGGAATGTAGTTGTTTCTTGGAAATGTGAGATGTATTGTCATGTACTATTGAGAATGTTTCCTTAGGCAAGGCACTTTTTCCTTATTGTTCTAGATAGTGTGTAATGAGGTCCCTGAATGTTGGTTATTGTGGTAGCCTGCAGCTGCTACAGTGAGACTGCTTAAAAATTACCCTGGTTATTCATGGGGTGATAAACCCAGTAAACAAATTACAGTTTTCACACATTATGTTGTAGACAATGTTTGATGCCCCATTGCTGATGCCGAAGACAGAGGAGGAAGATCTGCTAGAGAAACAACAGGAAGACAGCCTCATAGCACGGATGAAGATGTTTGTACAACTAAGACAAGACCTGGAAAGGGTAGGTTTGACCAAGGTGTTAACTGTGAGTGGGTGCAAAGTATTTAGGAATGATCAAACCAAAAAGCAAATTCTCATATATTTTACTTATTCAACATTAATACCAAAATTCAAATGTCAAGTCTGTAATCAAAGCATCAACATTCATCAATTTATGAAGATTCCTTTCTTAATGACATTCTTTCTTGCAGGTGCGAAACCTTTGTTACATGGTTGGTAAACGTGAAAAGATGAAAAAACAATTCTACAAGTTACGAGAGCATGTGTTCATGGGTCAGGTGAAGGTGTTGACAGACAAGAAACTGTCATTGACAGATAGGGAGGTGAAAAGGATTGTCAGGAAGTATCATCACCACAGTATCTATGACTGGAAGACTGTGGAAAAGTATGGTTTCAATCCTGCACCAGTCGATGATGATGAAAAGGAAGAAGATCCCTATCTGGTACTGGATATGCCCGGGGAACACCTTCCTCTGGACCTTAATTTAGCATCTGAGAGTTCTCCATGTGAGGAAAGCATAAAGACAGATTTAGATTCTAAGCCAGAATCAAAACCTGTGTTCTCACACAGGACAGGCTTGGCATCTAGAAAAGGATTTTCTCGCAGGAAGGCAAAACATGTTAAAAGAAAGTTGATGAAAGCAGCATTGACCGTAGAGAATGGTGATGAAGACATTGATGTTGTTTCTGATATTGTAATAGCAAAAGATCCTTTGGATGGCCTTGACTGCGTATCTGAACCTGAGCAAGAGGTCACAGAAAAATTGCATCGGCGTGGTCGACAAAGTCGGCATTGTCGAAAAGTTGACTTCCAGCTTGAAATGGAAGAAACTTCTGAAGACAGTTCTAATAAGGATCGAAACTGTGAACTGAAGGAAAAACGTACAAGGTCAAGTTTTCCTTTTTGTTCAGAGGAAGTAACAAAGACAACAAAGTCACCAGTTAAAGAGGAACTAGAGTCAAAGAATTGTAGTTTGGATCTCATTTCAGAAATTGATGTGAAAACTGAGAAAGCAGATGAAAAGAGTGAGTGTTCCGTAAAGGAAGATGTTGAGGATGGAGATTCTTATGTGGGCTCTAGAGAGCTACGGAGTGCTTCTGTTAAATCTGAGGTGGTAGTTTCAGCAAAAACAGAGGGATCTTTAAAACCAAAACCAAATGGAAAGGTGTCTGACCGTGTTAAATCTGAGCTGGGTCAGTTAATGAAGATAAACAAACTCATGGTTCCTGATAAGATCAAGATGAAAGTGCAAAGAGGACTTTTTAGGGCATCCTCTAAATCTAGATTAAAACAATTAAATGGTGTGCTAGACAGAAAACAAACACGTCTTGACAGTTTCTTTAAAAATGGCAAAAAAACTGACGTTGTAGAATCGACAGTGATTGAGGAGTCTGCAATAATTAATGGACGAAAGTCGATGTCACGAGTTTTGAATGAAATTTCTCCCTCAAAGACACGTCAATCAGGAAACAGTTGGTACGGTTCCCCAGCAATCTCTCCAAAAGGATACAGATCTCCACCGGTGTCGCCAAGGAGTAGCCTTGGTAACTACAGAATTCCTAAGAAAAGCAGTTCGGGTGATGGACAGATCGTGTCACGTGTAGGGGAAGATACATCAGTGACAGGGTTGATAAACAGCTCCCCAAGGCCTGAAACGCGGAGTTCTCGTCGCCGTATAGAGGGAGCAGATTCCAGCAGTAGAGATAGTTTTAGTCGTCGTAGCAGCAGGGAAAATTCTCCAGATAGTACAATAAGTTTACAAAGTCGAGGCAGTAACTTTCGGGGTCTAGTGAGGGTTGGGGAAAGTGACCGTGTTCTGACTAGGGCTAGCTCTCCTGCATCATCGTACAAGAGTCTTGACCACCACACAGATTTCATTGATGTAGAGAACTTGTTCCATGAGGCAGACATTGCCCCAAAACGTGTAACTCGCAGTCAACTCAGCGACAGTGAATGTTCACGAGATTCTACAGATTCGTCAACTAGGCGGTCACTGTCTCATGTACGCAGTCTCATGTCCTGACCAAGGTGAAGACACTGACACATTCAAATCATATCTTAACAATATTTGTTCAATTAATGGCTCAAAAACTTAAAAAGCTTGACAGCAGATAGAATTTTTTGCAATTGATGTGTAGGTAGAGGATACCATGAGATCATGTTTAATCAATATTTCAATTGATTGTGTCGATTGTTCAATTTTTTCATAACATTAATGTTGGTTCAAATTCACATAATTTCCTTCAGGAATCATTTTTGACAGGCCCATGAGGTTTAAGGTCATTGGTTGAAATTTGTTAGCGAAAAGTCTTTCAATCTCGAAAGATTTATTTATTGTGAAAGATGTGAATTGATTTAATTTAGAAACTTTGCAACTTTAATCTAATCAGATCATTTAAGGTTAAAAACCACAAGAATTTTTTTCTGGTGACTATTTTCTAGGCTAGAAATGTTTCCTTATTCTAAATAAGGAATCTTATTTAGGTTCGTAAGAAAACGGCTTTCAATTTTCATCTTTATTATTTCTTTAATGCAGAAAATAATATTTTTGAAATTGTCAGGTAAATGTGTAATATTGTAATAAGGAAACTTTTTGTAGTACCAAGAAGCATGCTAAATTTTTTAGAATTTTGAATTCTTCTGTATTTGTCTGAAAATACCTATTTTTAATTGGCTTCATATGCATGAGTAATGGTAGGAGGCCTCATGTCTGTGATTTTTAGTATTTGTTAGCCTCTATTTTATTTAAAACAGAACCTAATAATTCCAAGTCCTATATTACACTAGTTTTTTGGGGTTTTTTTTCCAAAATGGGCTTATCTCCAAAAGTGGCTTGTGGCGATAATGCAAATTCTATCAAATTTAGTGTGTATGATCTGCTTCAAAACCAACAAGATTTGTTTTTGTTTTGTACACAAATCTGATAAAAATGTCCTTCAGCATCCTTCAACAAGATCTGGCTATTAGAAGTAGGAAAATGGTGAAGTGAGGGTAATATGTGGATTATGCTTGTCTTCTGTAATAGAAATTTCTCGAAATCCATGGAAATATTTTAGTTCATTAATGATGTGAAATACTGTATTAAAACATTTTTTTTAAACATGATTTTTTTTTTTGCAATTTTTGCAGGTTTGTTTTCATTTAGTAAATAGAATTGTAATGGAAAAATTTCATATGAATAACATAAAAATTCAAACTTGGGAATTTCTTACTAGTTTGTTTTAGAGTTGATTGTTTATGAAAACAAAAAAATGTGATTGAGTTACTCATTTTGTTTGGTCAAAAATTAATAATGTTCATTAGCAAAGTTTTTTAGAAATAATTAAGTTTATATCTGAAAATTATCCCATACAAAAAGCATGCATCCTGATATATTGCTTTAATTTGTTGTTAATTCTGATAGGAGCTTTTCATTTGTCATTTTGTCTGACTGAATATATACAGCCTGTAATGCTGCTTCTACATGTGCAATGTTCCAAAGCAAACACTCTTTGATATGTATTTTTTTGTTTTAGGTCACCTGAGACAAAGTCTCATGATGACCTATTGCGATCACCTTTGTCCTGTATCATGCATCTGTAAACATTTTGACTTCTCAAAAACCCCTGAACCGATTACCTCATTATGGTAAGATTAAAATTTAAAATACTTTTCATGGATGGCAGCATTTTCAGATGCTTTACCAAAATTATGAATTTCGTGGCCCAAGAGGGGTCCATTTGATTCAGATTTCAAAAATCCAAGTTTTTCCTGGATGAAAGCATCTTATGGTGCTTTACCAAAATTGGTCTCGCATTTGTCCCACAGGAGAAGGTTACTTTTACTGTGATTTGCATGGAAAAAAATTTTTGGGCATAACATTTATTTCCCATTTGAAATAACTTTGTCAGAATTATTACTATAGGATGACAGTGTTAATGGTATGCATGTATTGACACTGGTTTACTCTCATCAAAGTCACAATTTCTTTATCATGACACTTTAAAGCAACTTACATTCAATCATTATATTCAATATTGCTTATCTCAGGTGACTGCAAGGCTGCTATGCCTCTTTTTTTTTCAAATAAGTGGGAAAAAAATCTTTTCAAACACATTAACTACCAGAAAGTCAACAAATCAGAAACATTCTAAGAATTTTGTAAATGAAAGAGCAATCTCCATGAACAGCAAGACATTAAAAAGTTAACATTGCTTTAACTCAGGGAAATAATTTCTGCATTTAATTTAGTAGAGTTTTGTTGTAATGATTGCTACATCTTGTGCAATAATAACAAATATGGTATGAAATCCACTTAAATTTTCATTAAAGTACATTTAGTAGATAAAAGTAGGGATATGGAATGAAATAAATTAGCTAATTAAGTACATACAATAGATTTTATAATTATTATTATACCATGAGCATACATTTTGGTATGTGTATTTGCAACAGCCTGTAGTAGAGACCTTTTCCATGTCAATATGTATACATCCATATGACCAGTATTTTAATACTTCAGGTAGTCCATGGCCAGTACCTGATGTGAAATTGAACATTAGTTTTGGTAGAATATTATTGTTGGCTGTTGAACCAGAAAATATATAGACAGTGTTTATCATAAAGAACATAAGCTGATGTAGGTAATTGATGTTAGAAAATTAATCTCATAATTGTGCACTACAATTTCGTCATCCATCTCTCCACACCTGCTTTTTACATATTGTATCCATATGGCATTTACACAGTACTGGAGTACTGCAGGCAGCTGAACATGTGCTAGTGGTCATCACCCATTTTAAACCAAAAATGGGATAAGATTGAATACTCAAACATGCATCTAGTCCCGGGATATATTTGGGAATGGGGGAGGTGGAGTTATTCTAAGGATGTATGGTATTTTAAACTTTGTCCAAATTGATTGATTTGTTCGAATTTTAGGAAGTAACAAGTAGTTTTTGGCAACCGTATTGAAAACAATTCTTTGATATATATATATATGAATATTTCACATTGTTCTTAACATGGTTTAAAATGATCGATGTTTACTACCAGTGGATATTTTTGAGAAATTATATATTAAAATTTAAATATAGCCATGAGAATTTATCAGATGAGAATAGAGAATATATGTATTTATTGACTTTAGGATATTTTTATTCATATATTTTACTTTCACAAAATAATCTCTCAGTCATAATTGAATCTTGTGAGTGGCATGTTTCTTGACTTATTAATTACATTTCATTCTGCAACTATTGTTGTTGATGTCCTGTGAAGCAATGCAGTTTTCATTACCAAATGGTTATTGGGGAGAATATGTAATTTCTCAAATGTTAGATATATAATTGTTTTAAGGATGTAGAGAAAGAAACCATAAACATTTTTTATCAAAATGAATCGAAGGGAGGTAACTCTTCATTGCAAAAGAAATTCTTAGACCGAATGCAAAGTTGAAAATATTAAAGATTGAAAAGACTGTCCATAAATTAATGTTGATGTAAATAATATCTGTCTTAGGTGTTATGTAAATATCATTATTATAGAAAATAATTTTATGAAAAGAAAATCTATAAAAAATAAATGCTGTGCCAACACAAATAGTATTTTTGTTGTTTTCCTTTGACTAATTGTTATCATACAAATCATTTTCATCAAAAATTGTTTAAAGTGTGCAAACATAAGTGTCTGCCAATTTCTATCACTTTTTCCTGAGAAGCACGGAGTTGGATATTGCTCAAATTTGGATGACTGGACTGTGTTTTGTGTCCTTGGCCAAGATACTTTCCCGAATTGCTTCAGCTGGCATGGATGATGTAGTGGGCCTTCTGTCTGGTGTTCATTGAGATAATTAACCAATGAGTTGATTGACCCATGTTCTAACAACCCTAGCTGTTCAAAGTTTGATAAACCTAACAATTTCCAAAGAGAAGGAAATCCGGTTATATTGATTCAAAAGATGTCCTGTGGTTGTTCAGAGCCGAGACCAGTGGGCCATTTTCCTTTTTTTTTTTTATCCCTGATAATGTATTTACCATTCAAGAATAAACCGACACATTCACAATAAATTTCACTGGCATTCATATCTGTTTTGTACTAATGAGAGAAGCAGATGAAATAAGGACATCAAACATGCTTCCTAAATTAATTTATTTAAAGCTACCAAGTCCCTAGTTTCAAATACCTAATTTTCACGAACTCGTAATTTAAAAGAATAAATATCAAAATGAAAAATGATACAAAATTGAGTTTGAAATGTAAGGATGAAGTATTAGAATTGTTGATACTAAGTTCCCTGATGACTTTATGTGTACGGATTAGCTGAAGTATATCTACCTGGTAGCAGGTTTCAGTCTGCATTAAAATAACACCGAGATGGAGTGAGGTATGGACACTACACAATAAACACTGGTCAAAATTTCTAACGTTTTGATGTAACCTAGACAATGAGAAATCTGCCTGTCATGAAAATTTGGGCTTGAAATAGCATTGTACCTATGTTAATGTGTCAAATGTGGGTGTCGTCTGTGAAGATTTCATTTCAATTCCCTCCTGGCAGCGAGCAGAAGACTAGAAAACTCATTCTTGATGCCAAGATATGATAACAGAATGGTAATTATAAGGAATAAGTCAATTTGCTCCAATTTTTTTTTTTTATAAGATATGTTGCTTGGCCAGAGGACCAATGCTGAACTTACATCTGTATTAAATGGTATCAATTCATTATGACGGCCCTCAAAGAGATGCTGGTTCTAACAAGATCAGGATACATAGACTTTGATGACCCATCTGAAAAGTCTGAACATACCAAACACCATTTTACCAAACAGTATTGAAGGACCCCTCATCTTAATAACCATTAAGTCTCGATTCTATTAGAAAGTCTAAAAAATACCAGCGTTTGAAAGGAAACATTCTTCATTGGTCTATGTTCTCTCTGTAAACCTACACAGATTAGAACCCAAATATTAATTTTGCTTAAAAAGACACATCACTACATCAAATCAATTTCAGTAAATGGCAAAATGCTTGCAACAGACTGATACATGTATTAAGAATTTAGATTAACGAAAGTCTATAACGTCTTATGTTGCAGAATTCCTGTGGTAATCACTAATAATAGGATGAGATTTAGTTACACGAAAGAAAGCGGGATGGTTATCGCAAATGTCGACGTTAATTCTATTTTATTCAAAGTGTATTCGTGTTTTCCGGGAGTAATATCAGGACCACAAATTCCATTCATATTTCATGACATAATTTTTGAATATTCATGGGATTATCAGTTATTCCTTAAACGCATGCAACTGACATGTTCACCCGAGCGTGATTTCTTACTGATAAGAGGGAGCTATCGTGTCGTTAGTCTATTGTAATTCACAGGTAGCTGCCAAGAATTCCCTACCACCTGTTGTGTATTCACCTGTATCGGGTACAAAAGTAACGCATTATGTTCAGGTGAATTCATAGGGTAAGAGTCAAATCGAGGGTGTTTACTTTACGTGTGAGCCACGTGGGACGTTCAAAATTTCAAAACAGGATGTTTATGATTTCATTACATTGATTATAACAAAAACCACCGGCAGACGGCGATAACACGAAATATTTAACATGACCTACATCAAGGTAAGTGCATGTATAATTTACTTATCACATATAAAGCAGCTTCAAAATTAATTTGATCAATGTGATCTTTGAATGTAATGCACCTCCAAGTTACATACCATACATCTTTAGTGTGTGCTCGTGTGAGCGTGTGTGTATGTGTGTGTGTGTGTTCGTGTGAGGGTGTGTGTGTGTGTGAGGGTGTGTTCGTGTGTGTGTGTGTTCGTGTGAGTGTGTGTGTGTGAGAGTGTGTGTGTGTGTGCGTGTGTGCACCAAAATGTCTAATATGTGGTGGAGGAGCAAGAGGAAATACAGGCAAGTCAATAAATATGTGAATATTTCATAAAAGACTTCCTATCGAATTTTGTCCTATCTTGGACACATAACGCAGATCTGAATTTCGGAGGAAAAAGAGAAGACCAAGAAAAAACATTCAGGAAAAAATATGCAAAAAATTCTATATAATAACCAGAAAGTTGACATGACAAACAAAAAAATGAATACGATACTCTTTAATTTCTTCTTTTTCTTTCTTTATATCATGGTGTGTACAGGTTTTCCTTGGTAGTTCCTATATATCTAGTGAAAAGTAGGATGGGCTAAGTGTCATGACTTCTCCGTTCTTGCTTATGAAAACGTCAGAAGAGGGGTTGTGACAATTTGATAATTTCTACTCGGTACACTACAGGGACATAGAAATGCAAAATTTGTTTTAATTGAAACATAATTTGATATTAAGCTGGCTGTGACAAATACATGCGCGTCTCTAACATCTTACTGATCATATGCCCAAGATGTTTGTTCAATATCCAAGTCCATGATATATCTTAATTCTTCAATCTGTACCCCGTCTTAGTTCAATTTATTTACTAACAACTTATCTGGAAAAGAAAAATAAACTTGTATTAGTTTGAATAATCTGCCTACAGTTTCTTCGCGTATTAAGTAACGTGACGGGCGAGGAAGGAATCAAACGATTTCCTAAGAAAGTATCTACATCCGGGCGATTACAAGTTGTAAAATACTTTTTCTCACAGAGAGTGGGAAGTGTAGAGTTAAGGGTGTGACAGACACGGAACTTGTCCGGAAGTTCTCTTATCTTAGTAATATCTCATGTTTATCATCATACGCCCATGATTGAGAGCAGATATTTAAAAGTTATCGCAGATATATCTTATTCGTTTTATAATCACTGGAAAAACATCCATAGTTTTCAAGAGAAACGTGAAACACACACGTGGTATCATATATCGATATGTGTCTTTAGATGGATGGTATGGGGTCTGGGTAGTTTTCAAAACAGTCTGACTAAGTGCTGTACCGTGCGAGATAGATATAATCAATCATCGGATAGGTATCCTTTTATCAGTGTACTGACACCTATGTTAAGAAACACCTGTATTAACACCTAGAGGGTCTGCGATTGGCTGAAATTTTGTGTGTCCATTGTGATGTCATAAATTATGGCGTCATCTGCAACGTGGCGTCACAAATGATAAAAATACGACGTGAAAATATCAATACAATACAATAATATTTTATTATAGTGTCACATATCATAGTTTACAATAAAATATTGCCAATCATAACGATGTCCAGCCGGATTCGGCTTAGGAGACACTGTTAACAGTTCATGTTTATCAAAATAAAATACGTATTTTACGTTATACATGTATCAGTTCAAATTACATTTTAAAAGAGAACGTCTACGCTTCATCACGAGATAATTTGGTTTTAACGAAATATATCGAGTTTCTTCGGTTTGTGAAAATAAAATTAAAATATCACCAGTTTAGATATCTAGGTGTTGTGATAAACATGACCTTACATCCGTTTGGACAGAAATCTGTACCCCCTGCTCTGTTACAATGTATATATAATACTAACAACAGTGAAAACAAACAAGCTTTGATACAGTGATTATGAAAATTGTATTCCAAAGGACATACATCATTTGCTATTATACAAAATGGACCCCAACCAATTTTATCATGATTATTTAGATGTAATAAGAATGAACTTGTGACGTAAACAGAAATATATCACTTAATATAGGATATACGTCACGTGATATATACTGTGACGTAACGTAATTAGATTAAATACATCATTGACATCTGCATGTTTAAAAATAATATTGTTTTATCGCAAATACTATAATAAACTGTCAAATAATTTCTTTACATATTTCCTACAGAAATGTCACTTTATTCGTGTGACTATCAATATGAATATGGCTTTTCACAAATTTTATATATGATATATAAAACACTAACTATCTGTACATAGTAACAAACGGAAATACCGACATGTTAACAGAATCTTGATTCAGACATAAATTCGACGAAACAATAGCAAAATAAGAGTGTAAAGGAGAATAAAGAGCTCCGGAAGGGCAAACGTTTTTTGCTTGTTCGACGACATCCGCCATCTGTAAATATTGGTACATCATTTAATTAATTTAGGCCTATTTCAGATGTGGACGTCTTTCTTTGTACACACACACACACACATATATATATATATACAGGTTTTTTCTGCGCTGTGGAACAATAATTGTAAACTCTTGTTGTTGTCACTGATTAAAACAAGTAAACATTATCTGGTTTAAAATCAAATTAAATAAATCAACTCATATGTCCATATATGTGTATACACACGTTAAAAGATGCGCTAGATAATACACTGTATGACCATGTTCCTTTTGAATTGATCGAATTGCAGTTGATGAGTCTTATCAGCTTTTTAACTGTGAGCATTTTTCATAAAAGTTGCATAAAATACACAGCTTTCGCAAAATGACACGGTTGTTAATTGCTAATTAAATATTGGAATGTCATAATTGTAAAGAACCTAGAAATACTTCACAGAACCTTTATTCAAATATTCCCATCAAAATACCCGAAAGTTGACTATACTTGAAAAACTGGCGTCTGCCTGAACCGTAACAAAGGCAATCCAGGGAGGTAAATGGATCAGCCTAGTAGGGCCATACCACACGGAATGGCGGAGAGTGTTGTGTAGTGGTTCTTAGTACAGGAGTTCTCATGGTGATGTCAAAATGCAGCCCCCGCCTAGAAAGGTATACAATGGATTTCACTAGTATACCCAAGTTTGGTTTCTTTTGCAAAATATTAGGATTTTATGAAGTGATGTCTATCGAGAGTTGTGGTTTTATTTTCAGGTAAAGCACACGACAGCACTGAAGAATATTCATTCTGAACAGGTGGCCAAGCTCCAAGCGAAACATCAACAGGAATGTGACTTATTGGAAGATATCAGGTAAGAGTTTAGGATATTCCCGGGGGGTTGGGAACTAGCACGTAAGTTAGATTCTTTATGATTCGGTATCAAATGTCCAGTTTGGGCCGTTGAAGATCGATAACAACCCTTTCGGAGCCTCCCTCCGTTATCAATACACATTCAGCTACCACGTTGTTTGTTGACAGCACAGAATTCACGCCCCCCGTTGTAACATATAGGGGTTAGTTCCCGGGACACACGTCTCCACCGTGGGGTCAACAGATCCCTGCTGTCCGGTTCTATCTATCTACAGGGAAAATGACGACGCTACATAAACAATAACAAAAGACAGCTTTTGCCCAGTACTTCGTAAACGTCATTAGCAATAAAATTGATAACTATATCTAATTGCTAAATGCAGCATATACTTGTTTTTAGTTATATTAAAAGCATTTTAGCCAAAGGTGTGGGTGGTGCAGTGATTTTTTTCAATTATTCGCACATTATGTAAATCATATCAAACAAACCTACAATAATGATACAGGTTTGTGCAATCACATATGTTTGTGTATTATGCAATGTTTTTTTAACGCATGTTCAAGATTTATTGTGATTAAGTAGAGCCTGAGTCATAACACTATTACACATTCATAGTTCGAGGATATTTCAAACAAATTAAACATGTATATATTGTAAGCATGTAAGTGTGATTATTTATAAGTAAACCACTTGTATATTTGTCTGTGTAATGTATCATAGATCAAATGTTGTGTGTTGTCTGCACTATTTCAGTTCTCACTGAAACAACATTATATATCTGTTAGCAAGCAGGTTTTAAATCTAAAATACACTTTTTGTTTTGTGCATGTACTGTAAAGGTTTGTTACGCTGTCATAGAGCCATGGTTATAATTTTAAATGAAAAGATTTTTGTGAAAAAGATTTTTTGGCTTGTTTTAAATTGAAAACAAGACTGTTTCATGTAGACAAAGATTAAGTTATTCCCCAAAATTTGGATAAATATCGATAATTTTCCAAATTTTGAAGAAAATAGAACTTTTACTAATATTTGAAGGCGGATTTCTGCTGTAACTTAACCTTTAAATAATAAAATACAGATGTTTATGGGGGTATTCTGCTTTCTGAAGCACGAATAAAAAATCTGAGTTTGCCTGATGGTATTATTCTTATATAAGAAAATTATTTATTTTTATCACTAGTTAAAGTGCTAAAAGAAAGTTTTACTCAAAAGTTAAATAACTGGAACATATATTAGATATTTTATAACATATAGTAGATATTTTATAACATAAAGTAGATATTTTATAACATATAGTATAACATATAGTAGATATTTTATAACATATATTTGATATTTTATAACATATAGTAGATATTTTATAACATAAAGTAGATATTTTATAACATAAAGTAGATATTTTATAACATAAAGTAGATATTTTATAACATATAGTAGATATTTTATAACATATAGTAGATATTTTATAACATATAGTAGATATTTTATAACATATAGTAGATATTTCATAACATATAGTAGATATTTTATAACATATAGTAGATATTTTATAACATAAAGTAGATATTTTATAACATATAGTAGATATTTTATAACATATAGTAGATATTTTATAACATATAGTAGATATTTTATAACATATAGTAGATATTTTATAACATATAGTAGATATTTTATAACATATAGTAGATATTTTATAACATATAGTAGATATTTTATAACATATAGTAGATATTTTATAACATATAGTAGATATTTTATAACATATAGTAGATATTTTATATAGTAGTGAGGAGCATATTTTATATAGTAGATATTTTATAACATATAGTAGATATTTTATAACATATAGTAGATATTTTATAACATAAAGTAGATATTTTATAACATATAGTAGATATTTTATAACATATAGTAGAATAACATATAGTAGATATTTTATAACATATAGTAGATATTTTATAACATATAGTAGAATAACATATAGTAGATATTTTATAACATATAGTAGATATTTTATAACATATAGTAGAATAACATAAAGTAGATATTTTATAACATATAGTAGATATTTTATAACATATAGTAGAATAACATATAGTAGATATTTTATAACATATAGTAGATATTTTATAACATATAGTAGAATAACATATAGTAGATATTTTATAACATAAAGTAGATATTTTATAACATATATTTTATAACATAAAGTAGATATTTTATAACATAAAGTAGATATTTTATAACATATAGTAGATATTTTATAACATATAGTAGATATTTTATAACATAAAGTAGATATTTTATAACATATAGTAGATATTTTATAACATATAGTAGATATTTTATAACATAAAGTAGATATTTTATAACATATAGTAGATATTTTATAACATAAAGTAGATATTTTATAACATATAGTAGATATTTTATAACATATAGTAGATATTTCATAACATAAAGTAGATATTTTATAACATAAAGTAGATATTTTATAACATATAGTAGATATTTTATAACTTATAGTAGATATTTTATGACTTATATTGATGTGTCAAATACAAATGGTAGGAATTTCATTAATTTAAAACATTTAAAACATTGATTTTAAACACCAGTATCAAAAAAAGAAAAGTAAGTGTTGATTAGTGCAGATTGTTTTCATACCTGTATTTACCTGTGACCTAGTTTAAATTCCTCTTAGTTACCAGTGTGAACTAGCAAAGTATTGTGACATGTGACCTCTGCTAGACAGACATTTGTGAAGAGCATGATTCTGTGTGAGGTCAAATTACATATAATTACATGAGGTTGAGGAGTGTAGAAGGTGCTGTCACATTTTCAGATGTCGGTGAAGCAGGGGAAGATATAGTGAAATAGGTAGAAGGGTGAAGGGAGTAGGAAAAGAAATGGATGGGGGGGGGGGGTGAAATGTTAGGATAATAATGAAGCTAGACAGGGAGTAATGAAGTTTGACAGGGTCAGAATCGAACTAGAAAATAATGATGAATTTGGGATTGACCATAGAATAGGAAAGGAATTGGTAAGCACAATAAAAGGTTAAGTGAAACTGCAACTATGAGACCAGATAGTAAAGGTAGAATGTTGATACCAGTAGGGAAGAATAAGTCTGGTCAGGATGATGAAGCATGGAGTGGGCAGTATAGCCAGACTGAACTGAACTGGACTGAAATAGAAGGAGGGGCAGTAGAGCCAGAGGGGACAATGAAATAAGGACTGAAGTAAGAAGGAGGGGTGGTATAGCAAGAGGGGACAATGAAATAAGGACTGAAGCTAGAAGGAGGGGCAGTATAGCTAGAGGGGACAATGAAATAAGGACTGAAACTAGAAGGAGGGGCAGTATATCCAGAGGGGACAATGACATAAGGATTGAAACTAGAAGGAGGGGTGGTATAGCAAGAGGGGACAATGAAATAAGGACTGAAGCTAGGAGGGGCGGTAGAGCCAGAGGGGACAATGAAATAAGGACTGAAGTAAGAAGGAGGGGTAGTATAGCAAGAGGGGACAATGAAATAAGGACTGAAGCTAGAAGGAGGGGCAGTATAGCCAGAGGGGACAATGAAATAAGGATTGAAACTAGAAGGAGGGGTGGTATAGCCAGAGTGGAGAATGAAATAAGGATTGAAACTAGAAGGAGGGGCAGTAGAGCCAGAGGGGACAATGAAATAAGGACTGAAGTAAGAAGGAGGGGTGGTATAGCAAGAGGGGACAATGAAATAAGGACTGAAGCTAGAAGGAGGGGCAGTATAGCTAGAGGGGACAATGACATAAGGATTGAAACTAGGAGGAGGGGTGGTATAGCAAGAGGGGACAATGAAATAAGGACTGAAGCTAGAAGGAGGGGCAGTAGAGCCAGAGGGGACAATGAAATAAGGACTGAAACTAGAAGGAGGGGCAGTATAGCTAGAGGGGACAATGAAATAAGGATTGAAACTAGAAGGAGGGGTGGTATAGCCAGAGTGGACAATGAAATAAGGATTGAAGCTAGAAGGAGGGGTGGTATAGCCAGAAGAGACAATGAAATAAGGACTGAAGTAAGAAGGAGGGGTGGTATAGCAAGAGGGGACAATGAAATAAGGACTGAAACTAGAAGGAGGGGCAGTATAGCCAGAGGGGACAATGAAATAAAGACTGAAACTAGAAGGAGGGGTGGTATAGCCAGAGCGGACAATGAAATAAGGATTGAAGCTAGAAGGAGGGGTGGTATAGCCAGAGTGGACAATGAAATAAGGACTGAAGTAAGAAGGAGGGGTGGTATAGCAAGAGGGGACAATGAAATAAGGACTGAAGCTAGAAGGAGGGGTGGTATAACAAGAGGGGACAATGAAATAAGGACTGAAGCTAGAAGGAGGGGCAGTATAGCTAGAGGAGACAATGACATAAGGATTGAAACTAGGAGGAGGGGTGGTATAGCAAGAGGGGACAATGAAATAAAGACTGAAGCTAGATGGAGGGGCAGTAGAGCCAGAGGGGACAATGAAATAAGGACTGAAGTAAGAAGGAGGGGTGGTATAGCAAGAGGGGACAATGAAATAAGGACTGAAACTAGAAGGAGGGGCAGTATAGCCAGAGGGGACAATGACATAAGGACTGAAGTAAGAAGGAGGGGTGGTATAGCAAGAGGGGACAATGAAATAAGGACTGAAGCTAGAAGGAGGGGTGGTATAGCCAGAGGGGACAATGAAATAAGGACTGAAGTAAGAAGGAGGGGTGGTATAGCAAGAGGGGACAATGAAATAAGGACTGAAACTAGAAGGAGGGGCAGTATAGCCAGAGGGGACAATGGAATAAGGATTGAAACTAGAAGGAGGGGTGGTATAGCCAGAGTGGACAATGAAATAAGGACTGAAGCTAGAAGGAGGGGCAGTATAATCAGAAGAGACAATGAAATAAGGACTGAAATAGAAGGAAGTGTAAAGTAGGAATGGTAAAGTTGGGAGTGTAAGAGGAGGTGCTAAATTAAGAACAATAAAGCT